AAATAACTCTTCATAGTCTGGAATCACATTTAACCAACTTTGCACATTTCTTTTACATAGGGACTTGTAGGTAGCATTGGCCCTCCAGGATTTCCTGGGCTTAGAGTGAGTATCAAGTATTATCATTCTTATAAAATATTGTGCTTATAGGTGTTAGATGCATTTTAAGATCTTTAGAAAAATGAGATGTTTTGGTGTCATTGTTGGATGTGAGACTTGTGCAAATCTATTTCCCCACCTAATAATGCAAATTAGACCAGTAGTATGAATCCAAAACTTAAACTTTATGATAACCTAAAATAACAAATTTCTACAGATTTCTGTATACATGTGTATTTATGTCTGTCTCAATAGGTAACTTAAGACTCAGTTTCTTCAAAAGTATGACATACAACAGCCACTTCTCTCCTTTGGAATAGTCTTTCGTACCATCTGGTCTGGATAGATCCTGTAGATATCATACTATACCATACCATAGAACATGGTAACTATAGACTTTAATTTTAGAATAAAATTGAATAAATGGTTAGGAAACATCCCGAACAAAAGGTAGTAGTTGTACTTTATTAATGCTGCTAAACATATTAATGCCCAATTTATTTTTTACACTAAAAATATAAGTGTATTACTTGCCCACTTAATCAGTTTAAGTTAGTGAATTTAACTGAGTTTCACTGGAGTTTCTGATATAGGCAAAGTACAGTTTAGTAAAAGCAATTCTTTGGAGGCCAAAACAATGTACTCCACATGGTTACCTGATAAATTTTATCCACTGAAGCAAACAGACTACTATTAGACTGCTACTTCTGCTGTGTCTTCATAAATATATTTCTGTCAGTCAAGCTTATGGTTCATGACAGGGATATAAATGACAGATATTTTATATAAATTTAGAACCATGCACTTTAACAGTCAGACATAATTTTATGAAATGTAAGGAGCCTAATGAAAACAGAATCTTAAAAGTAAACTATGTATATCCATATAAACATAGGAAATAACCTTGAGCAGAGGTAAGATTTTCCCTAAAAATTTATTTAGAGCTTGCTTTAACACATGAAGTAGGTAATTAAGACTCCAGAGTTTTATGCCATAAATTACAGCCACAATTTTTTTTAGCTTGAACTTGAACACAGGTCTTCTGACTAATCTACATTTAAATTTTTTCCTGCCAACTTAACTGCCCCAAGGCAAAAGGTGACAACTTGACCAAAGGAATACATCAGGAATTCAGTTATTGGAACTATGGTAAAAATCAGCATAATAAGTTTTAACTTGCCTTTGGGGCTGGCAACAATATAGAATTAAGAGTCAGAGAACCTGAATGAGTCTAAGACATTTAAACTTTTCTTTTACTTGATAATATTAGTATAACAATAATAAAATCAGCGATAACATCTCACTTTTTTTTAGTATTTCTCATGTACTAGTCATAATGTTAGGTCATTTAATTCTCAGAACAAGCCAAGACTACTCAGTTTCTAAGTGTTAGGCCCAGATTTGAAGCCAGGTGATCTAAATCCAGAGTCCAGAATCCCTACCTGTGTGCTACACCGCCTCCTTAAAACTTGTATCACCTTAAAATGAGTGCCATGTATCTTAAGAGATTTCATTAGGCTTCATGAGAAGCTCTATGTGAAGGTGGAACCCAAAGGACTAATTTTTTTCCCTCACAACTTAGAATAGGATCAAACCTGTAGGTGGTAGTCATTGGCCTTACCAATGGGGAGAGAAAGGAAGCTGGGAAGGGAGTTGGATTCCAAAGATACCCTTTCTGCATTCTTCATTTAACCTATCAGTTGGTTAGCTCAGAAGTTTCTGCTATTACGCTGAAGTTTAAGGCCAAAATTCTTAGCATGTCTAGACTATCTTGATTCTCATCTGCATCTTGGGAACATACTTTGTACACTAGCAAAGCTGTTTATTCTCAGATGCCGTGTAGCCTTGCTATGATACGGCCTTTGTCCTTATTTGTTTACCTGAAACACTTTCCAACTAACACTTAACTCTTACTCATTTTTCAGTGCCAGGACTTAGCACAATTCCAGCACATCATAGTGCTTAGTAAAAATAACTGTTTTTTGTTTTTGTTTTGTCCTTTCTCTTTCTCAATTTACCCTTTGGTAGATGGGAAGAGATCCTACAGAAGAGAAAATGGCTGATGATCCTAACAGTCCTGTTTGGATAGTACTTTATGCTTTTCAAAGTACCTTCACACACATGTATCATTTGTTTCTTAATGAGTTGTAAAATAGATAAAGCAGGTATTGCTACCTCCATTTTATATTTATTAATTTTTTTAATCAACACAATGTGATCACCTACTATGTATCAAATGCTAAACTAGATTTTTGCTAGGCCTAAGAATACAAACAAGCTTTCTATTTTTAGCAACATTATATATAATCTAGTGGCATAGAAGGTAAAATAAGCAATATCATACAATGTGATCACTGCCATCATGGACTAAAAACCACAGAGAAAGGAGCAATTTATGTTATCTTGAGAGAGGAATCTTCACAAAAGAGATGTGTTTTAACTGTATCTTGAAGTTTGTGCATGAGTGGAATGGAGTAGAAACAGGAAAAGGGCTCTTTAGGCAGAAGAATCCTTAAATGCACAAAAGAAGTGAAAAAATGCAATGTTTGGGAAATGCGAAGAGGAGTAGGAGGATTGTAGCCTAAGAAGTATGGGGAGATAGGAGTGGAATGGAAGGAGCTGAGGTTTGGAGATCATTGGAACAGATGATATAGAACCTTTATATTTCAGAGTCAACAGTTGGTCTGCTCATCCACATCTGCTTGTTCCCACATGGGAAGTATAGTTTCTGCTGAGAGATGATACAGCTTTCTCTAAGTGATATTTTCCATGCAACTGGTTGTCATTGTCATTTGCTTTCTTAATTAGTGACAGTGATTATTACCTGCGAGTGTGGGTGGGTGTGGTTGCAGTCTTCCCTACCTTGTGCTCACTCACATGAGTTCTAATCGGCTAGAGGCTGCTGGTTTTATATGAAGAACCCATTCTTAAGCTCTATTTCTTTGACTCACTTTGGCTTGAAAGTTCTGTGGGAGGCTCTTCTCCCTTTGGACGCTAAATCTCAGACAGCTATGCTGCCACACATGGAAGCATTTCTCCCGTCTGTTCTGTCTTCTCATGGAAAAGGAGTGTGGTCGGCAGAGAGTGCTGAAGGCCGTCAGATTATCCTTGTGGCACTAAAAACTGCCCTTAGCCCATCATGGGTTGCTTTTAGAAAGCCATAGTTTTTCCGGACTAGGTTTTTCCACACAACTTGTAACATACCACAAAATGTTTGAGGTTTCTTAGAGGTTTCTACACCATTTTACTTTTTCATCCTCTATTTTGCTAAGTCTTCTATAACATGTATGTACTTTGATATTTCTCAACACTTATTATTTTGTGATATTTATTTTAGAGGCACTAAAAAGTAAGATAGTAGATTGTGCATACAAAGTACATTCATCTGAAGATACTAGACTACGTACAGTGATATATTTACTGAAACACAGTTAATAATACTATCACCTATAGAAAAAACAACAGGATGACAAAGAAGTGTTTGTTTATTTGCATACAAGATATTTTTCTATACCTACATAGATTATTGCTGCATAATTTCTAAACAGAAATGTTTATTGTATTTTTTGAAACTCTCCTAATTTTTAAAGCTATGAACTTTGCATAAACTAGCCACTGTAATTATAAGAACAATTGTTTCCTACTGACAGAATTTGTCAGGGATGTATTAATATTGCATATCTGTTTATTAAGTTGGAAAGTATTACTCTTTGCTTCTCGCAGTCTCATATATTTCAGGATTAAACATGTTGGAAATAATTTATCTTAGTTATATTTCACAGACTTTAGAACTCACTCAAAAATAAAGATGTCATATTTTCCATTCTGAAATTTGTATTATATAAATGTAGACTATTAGAAATGATCTTTTATGTTGGGTGATAGAGCTTTAGAAACTGCTGCTTCTATTTCTTTTTTACTGAAATATAATTAACATAGAGTGTGATATTAGTTTCAAGTGTACAATATAATGAATCAGCAATTCTATACATTACTCAGTGCTCATCATAAACTTACTCTTAATTCCTTTTTATCTGTTTCAGCCATTCCCCCCACCCACCTCCCCTCTAGCAACCACCAGTATGTTATCTGTATTTGAGGCTTTTTTTGTTTGTCTCTTTTTTCTTTGTTTGCTCATTTGTTTTGTTTTTTAGATCCCACATATTAGTGAAATCAAATGGCATTTGACTTTCTTTATTTTACTTAGGATTTTACCCTATAGCCCCATCCATATTGTTGCAAGTGGCAAGATCTCAATCTTTTTAATGGATGAGTAATATTCCATTATATATCCATTCTTTAATTTTCCATTCTTTATCCATTCATCTAAGGATGTACACTTCAGTTGCTTCCATATCTTGGTTCTTGTAAATAATGTTGCAATAAACATAGGGTACATATATGTTTTTGAATTAATGTCTTCCTTTTCTTTGGATAAATACTGGTCATGGAATTCTAGATCATATGGTAATTCCACTTTTAATTTTTTGAGGAACCTCCATACTCTTTTGCCCAGTAGCTGTACCCATTTGCATTTCTGTCACTGTGCACAAGGGTTCCTTTTTCTCTACCTCCCCACCACAACTTGTTATTTCTTGTCTTTTTTATTCTGTCTATCCTGAAAGGTTTTCCAGAATTAATTCCATACTTTATTTTAAAACTGTTGTGTTTTATTTATTACAGTGAAACTGGAAAATAAAAAAAATCAATGAAACATGCTTCTGCTTTCATAGAATGGTCAGACTAGAAAGATGGGCAAAATAAGTATAGTGCAGCATACTCACTAGTGCAGTAGAAGGCCATTTCAATATTGGTAACAATATCATCAAAGACGTGGCACCTGTGAAAAGAGACAGCAGAGAGCATGTTCAGAGAATGGAAAATAGTCCATTGTGGTTAGAATGTGGGCTTTGGAGGATGGAGAAGTAGAGGAGAAGTATGGACAGATGGAAATAGACAAGACTGGAAGAGTTGGTGGGAACCTGGTAGCGAGGGTCTGGGATGCTTTCCTAAGAAATGTGACTTATAACCAAAAGGGGCAACATTTTTAGCACTGTCATACATATACCTTTAACAGTTCCTTAACATTTGGAAACCATAAAAGGGAGGTTTAAAGCAACTTGTTCTTTGAAGATGAAGGTTGATACAGAAACCAGGCACAGGGAGGTAGGAAGTGAAAGAAGGAAAATGAAGGTGTCATTGACAGAAAAGTTGTCCGTGATCCCTAAGCCATTTTTTCAACTTTTACTTTCAAATACCCTTATGGTGGCTACTAGACTTTGTCTTCTGAGATGATATATTTGAGGAAGTTTTCTAAGTCTCTTACCTACAGGAGATGACAGTGATAATTACGTTTTTGAGAAATCTTGCATTGGAGCACTAAACTGAGAACCTTGACACTGATGACTGTGTTTTTTTTTTCATCTTTGTTTCCCCAACACTGCTACAGTGTCTGTGTATGTGTTATGCCCGACGAATGTTAAATGATGAATGAATGAGAGAAGCCTCATTCAGTACTCAGTTTATCCTTGAGATTATGGTAAATTTTACCATGCTGCAAATTTCAGATCACGAAATAAAATCATTAGAATGCCTGGAACATAGTAACTGCCCAATAAATATTTCCTGAATAAAAGGGTGAAATAAGAATATATGATGATCTAATGAAGTATTTATCAAACACATCCTGAGAACATGGCACTAAAATAGTTCCCTTATCTTCAAGATATTAGTTAGTTGGAGAAATATTTCAAGATGAACGTTATGGACTTTTAGGCATTGTAGGGGCTAAAGGAAAGGGGGGATCTTTGTGGACTAGACCAGTGTGAATAGGCTTCAGGGAGTAGGATGACCTCACTAAGGTTTCAAAGATTGGTGTGCTTTATCCATGCAGAGAGAAAAAGAAATTGTGGAAGAAGAGGGCACGTGTGGGAACTTAGTGAAATGAACTATTCTGGGTTAATTAATTAAGTTTACCGTATTCTCTTTCTAATCCTAGTGGTTGCTTAATGATGCCTTTCTTTCTTACTGCTTTTCAGGGCAGTGCTGGCCCTGTTGGACTAGTCGGACCTTCTGGATCCCCTGGCCCAATGGTATGTCTAAAACTGCATCATGGGCATTTCCCTTTAATTTCTCTGTGATGTCACAAAATATTTTTTTTTTTTTTTAGGGTCTTTCCGGGAATAAGGGCCAACCTGGAATCAAAGGTGATAAGGTGATTTAAATATTTACATTATCATAGAGATGATTTCTTATCACATTTATTTTTTTTTCTTTGCCATCGACACAACTTATAAAATGTTTTTGTTTTTATATATGGGATCAAATCTGTACTGTCAGTTATACAATTCTTCCCAGAAGTAGGAAAAATAAAGAAGTTATTCTTCCATTTCTTATAATATTGCCACGTTTGTGTCGCTTAAGTGTCTTTGTGTGAAATTGTGCCCTCTAGGGTGAGCAAGGCATGGCAGGAGAGCCAGGAGAACCAGGGTATCCTGGAGACAAGGTAATTTTCTTTTACCATTAAGTTTATAGAAGTCCAAAAAAGTATGTGAAAAAGTATAAATTCTTTAAAAAGAAAGGAATAATCATTATTGTAACTGTGTAGTTTATTAGGATATGGTATCAATATGGTTTTACGTGTCTTATTTCTCAATTTTTTTAAGATTAATTCCATGAATTTTTTAAGTTGTTCATAAATAGAGGCATATCTGCCATTTGTGGTAAAGGAGCTCATATGTTTCCTCTAATATTCTCTTCTTTTAGGGAGCTGTTGGTGCTCCTGGACCCCCAGGGATGAGAGGAAAGCCAGGACCTTCAGTAGGTTTGAACTTTTGCTTTGTTCTTTATGAGTAACGAAGTGCACGGCATGGCAGGGGTCTTGACGATTGATACTATTAATAGAATATAAGAAGTAAGATATAAGCCTACCAGTCTGGCATTTTTTTTCTCTTCAGGTTTTAGGGTACAGCTAATCCTTGAAGTTTTCAGCTCACATTCCACAGAGTATTGGACCTCATTTTCCCATTTCCCTCACCCCCCATCCCAGGTCAAGCCAAATTTCTGTGAGCCCTAAAGATCTTGATTGATGTATCATGGATAGTATTTAAGTAAACCTTGGATATTTAAGACAGAAAATATAAAACACCTTAAACACAATTTTAATTTATCCAAAGATCTTTCATTCCAATGTATTTCATTTAAAGAAGATTGTGAAGAAAAGATAGTATGTCACACTCTGTGGGCACAAATATTCTAGTTCTTTGCCTCTTTTAAACTTTGGACATCAATTAGTTGAAAAGAAAAGATACTTTACATTGTAGTTTACATGAAACCCGACCAAGTATACAACTAAAATTACTGAGCAATTAAAACCATTTAAATAATGGTTAAAACATTAGTTAAAAGTATGTTTCTGTATATTAAAATCATAAGACTTATTATAGCTAAGATTTACTGAATGTTTACAAAGTGCCAGCCACTATTCTAAAGTCTATACCTCTAACTTAATCTCTACATAAAGCATATAAAGTTGGTGCAATTATTATTCTTATCTTACAGATTAGGGAAACTGAGATACAAAGTTGAATAACTTGCCCGTGTTTCTGTAGTTAGTTGGTGGCTACCTGGAAAAATCACCTATGTCAGAGCTCACGCACTTAGCTTCGTGCCGCACTATTTTAGAATTTAACGTTCTAAGATTGTTTTAGGATTTTAATATTGTTTACAACTCTGTGAAGATGAAGGTGATTGTAGATAGAAAAAATTAGATGGAAAATTATAATTTATTAATAGAACATTAAAATGTGCATTTAAAAAGATTTTTGTTTTCCTGAGCAAACCATCCTGTTCCCGTCCATCTCCACCCTCCCATGTCATGCTCATTTATTTTTTGTCAGATGGAAATAGCATTAAATTACAGTGCTTCATCTACCTGACTTCTAACAGTGCAGGCATTTCATATACATCTCTCAGGAATTCCTTGTTCCACAGAAAAGTTTTCAGCATCCGTCTGTCTAATGACACGCTGGTGGTGAGCTTTGCTCTCCCTAGTTCTTTTGCCCCAGATTCAAAGTAAACCTGGTCAATCATGTACTAGACTTGTGCTCAGGAGTTGAGCTTAAAAGTTCCAAAGTGCATAAATAAGGAACATGAGAATAGCTCTTTTCAACAGAGCTATTTTGTTTCAACAAAAAGCCTCTGTTTCTCAAGGATGATTCTAAACCACGTAATGGGAACTTACAGTATCTGCAAGGACTGGCAAAGTAAGACCTTAACTTCTTATATTTTCCTTGTTCATTCTGTGAGGGTTTTCTGACTTTTGATCGTAATAAAAGAAGCTGGGACAACACATTTTCTAAGGAAAATACTAAGTAATAAATGATACCAATATTCTGTTATGCTTTACATACTGTTATAAAGTAAACATTTTTAAAGTCTCCCTCCTTACTTTTTGATACAGTTCATACTGATAACATGTTTATTGCTGGGCAGGGAGGAATATGCTGGTCTGAGAAACAGAGACTTAAAACTTAGTTCCAGCCCTGACTTGCTATGACCCAGGGCATTTAACCACTGTGATATCCAGTTTCTTGTTTGAACTGAGAGACTATATCATATTTAAGGTTGCTTGCAAATCTGTGACTCTTTAGTTTCCTCTCTCAGGGATAGTGTTTACAAGTATATCTCTAGTCTAAGTTAAAGAAAAGGCAGAGAGCCTGTCTCACCTTTAAATCCTTGTCTTAAAACCCTTAATATTTTTTTTCCTGAAATAAATCACCAGACCAACCTTAATGTGTTTTTTTAGGGCAGTGATGCAGGGAGCATAGCATGATAAGAGTGAGGCTTTTTACTTGCTCATTTTGTACCTTTCTATATTATTCTGGTTAAAAACACATTTTTTAATGTCAGCAGGGATTACTTTGATAGGAAACACTTGACCATTTTTTGACTGTTTTATCAAATACTTGAAAAATTATGCATCAGACTGAAGATAGGATAGAACCCTATGAATTAGTATTTCTAAGAATCTTTAGTTTCTCACTTTATTTCTCACTTGTTTATACCTTATTAATAGACAAAAACTGCAGAAGTTTGCTGGAAACCCTTCCCAGATATGGAAGGAGACATCCGTTGAATGAAAAATTGCTTGCCCTGAATCTGTTATATTAAAAAGAAAGTATACAAGTTAGTGCCTATCTAAATCATTTGTTTACTAGCATGAAAAGACTGCCATGGTCATGAGGATGGCTTTTTCATTTTATATCTCCTACTTTTGGTTTTCTGTTATCTAAGATACAGTGACATTAGTGATTTTTTTTCCCCAAATGAATCTAAGTTGTAACATGAAAGAATATTTACAAGCTAAAAGAAAGAGTGTCCTGATCTGGAAGGCTTTTTACCTTTTGGAATAGGGAAGCTTTTGCTGTACAAGCACTTTAAAACCAGAGAAAACTACCAATCAGAAGTTAAGAAGTATTCTTTTCTTAAAGCAAAGACAATTATTATGTCCTTTCCATATTTTTAACTAGAAGTTGCTGTCAATTATAGAGGTGTACGTAATCATCACTCCCTCGTCTAGAACTTACTTGAAACCTCAATTTTTAAAAAGAGACTTGACATTTAAGGAGACTTCCAGTTTAAGTTTCATCAAAAAAATGAAGATTTATTCTGAGGAATGAATGAAATTATCCCCAAGTGTATGTTTTTAAATATCTGGTTGTTGATTAAGGTTCCTGAAAACAAAGGCCTAGTAGGTGTGCCGTTTCCCTCAAAGCTTTTAACTTCAGCTTCTGGTTCGTTTTTTGCCACCAGAGGTCTCCAGTGAGAGCTCCATCTTTATCTCTAAGAGTGGTACTTGCCATTTTAATAATGTCAGCCTCCTCTACATACTGATTATGATGGACGATGATTTTTCCTATTTAGGAGAGCTTAAATGAAGTTTTATGTAATACTATTAATTTTCTCTCGATCTGAATGCTTCAGTGGTTTTATTGTGTACTGTTTTATGTCCAGATACCCAGATATCTAACTAAGCACTGTATGAGAATGGATTTAGTGCTTAGGGAAACTGTGCTTTACTTCTTGAGATGTGAATAAGTGCATATTATATCTTGTGATTTTATGTAATATGAGGCCTATTCAGTCAAATTTGAAACTTGAATAGAAATTTAATGTGACTGAAATAATCAATTCAACAGTTTCTCTTAGGAAAACAAGGCTATCAGACTACTAACCCCACCCACCCCCCGTTCTGTACTTCCACCTCTTGAGAACATTGCCAGCTCTCTCTAGTCTCAGGCTTTATGATCAATCTCTCCTGTGAATCTCCTCCCTGGCCCTGATTTTACTTTGTTATCCAAATGTCAGACAATGGCTTCAGAGATATTGAAAACAAATCATCAGCATTGTAATATAATGATCAAAACAATCTAGGAATTATAGGTATCATCCAGGAGAGGTAAAAGATATGAAGGCAATAATTAATGGTTATAGAATTGGTTAACATTTAATGAGTACTTTCTATGTGCCAGGCACTGTGCTAAGAACTTTACATGTATTGGCTGTAATCCTCACAATGACTCTAACAATGTTAATACTGTTAGCATTATTGTTCCTATTTTATTAGTGAGGAAACTGAGGCTAATAGAGATTAAGCAACAAGGATTTAAATTCACATAATTCTTGATTGCTAAATCGGGCCCCTTATAGCATCAAAGGAGAGGAATTTTCAGGGATAGTCCCAGGACTCTGGTTATTTATGAAAGTCCTCCTCACCTAAAGTCCCTTGCCTTGTTGAGTCAAACTTTATTATCTTATCCCTGGGTAACACACACGTACACACACAGAATTTTCTTCTTGATTTGAGCACTCAGTAATTTGTTTGTATCTCCAGCACTTAGGAGTAAATATATATGACATCCATATACATGTTTTAAAAATAAGTTTTCCACAGTGGTGATGGTTACAAATTAAATCTTTCTAGATGGTATTTACAACTTTGTTTGACATAATATATTGATTGTTGTTTACTAAAAAGTCATTATAATTTTGTGTGGCATAATACATGGAGTTCTGTTTGCTTACCACATGCCTGTCTCCGTTTAAAATTGTATTTTTTTAGGTTAATGCTTATACTCTGATTCTCACCCCCATTTTAGGGCCAAATAGGTGACCCAGGACCCCAAGGACCAAGTGGCCCTCCAGGACCAGAGGTAAAATGTTGGTTGGAAGATAATAAATTTAAAACAAAGTTGAAAAAAATTAAACTTGATTGTAAAGCATGTTTTTACATAATAGGCTTAAGAAAGACTCTCTTTAAAGTTTACATCGTTGTAAATGGTTTGTATTAAATTTTTTTCTATGTCAGAAAGTATGCACCAGTGATCCCAAGGAACTAGAAAGGTATTAGCCACATTACAGCCCTTATTAGATCACAGCTGATTTATTTGTTCTGCACAATCACTATTAATACCACATACTTGGGGTTTGAAATCAAATTTCAGGATAAACTCCACTGAATTTTTAATACAAAATGCTTCCAATTTTTGCTATATGCATATATCATTTGGACCTCATATTCTAAAATAAATACAAGTCTATAGTACATATATCAAATTTACTCATTTATTCTTTGAAGTTTTGACTTTAGCTAAATACTTGATCTGGAGTGTTTTTTTTTTTTTTCCTGCAAGTTCATATAGACCACAAGTTCTTAGATGAAACATTTGAGTTTTTTAAAAATCATTTTATGAGTCACATATATATACCACATGGAGATAAAGCTTCTGGAAGCTCTAATTCAGAAATATAAGCCAAAAATACATATATACACATATACATATACATACACATCTAATTCAGAGTCATGGATGCAATGATAAAGCTGAGAAAATGAATTTGGCTTCAGAATAAATAAATCAGAGTAATAAGTGTCAGAGACGTAGGCAGAATTTCTAGAAATAGCATTCTACTGATGCTTTCTCCCTCTCTATAAACCATAAAATTGACTTCTTACCCTGCAGCTGTCTTTCAGGGTTGGGTGATTTCTTCAGCAAATCCCTATTACTACTTATTGTCTAATTTAAAAACACATTGAATATTGGTAGTTCAAAAATCTCAAAATCTGCATTGTACCTAGTTTTAATAATAGGGACATAGTAGGAGATAAAATATAGCAATAATCCAGTCATAATTCTGAAAAGAAAGAAATTGTTTTGAGTAATTGAAGTGATTATTCACAGATAATTAAAAGAGTAATTAACATGTTAATGTAACTTTATCTCTTTCATGAACCTGTGTGCTATTAATAATTTTTCCTGAAAACTTTCCTGGAATGAATTCTATTTATCTGTCTTCTCATGCTGAGGATACAGACAGAATGTATCTTTTACTAGCCTTAAAGATGATTTATTGTGAACATGGGTTCTTTTTTTTTTAAATTTTTAAATGTTTATTTTTGAGAGAGAGAGAGAAAGCATGAGCAGGGGAGAGGCAGAGGGATACAGAATATGAAGCAGGCTCCAGGCTCTGAACTGTAAGCACAAAGCTTGACACAGGGCTTGAAATCACAAACTGTGAGATCATAACCAGAGCTGAAGTCAGATGCTTAACCTACTGAGGCACCCAAGCACCCCTTTTTTAATATTTTTAAATGTTCATTCATTTTGGAGAGAAAGAGACACAGAGTGCAAGCAAGGAGGGCCAGAGAGAGAGAAACACACACACAGAATCTGAAACAGCCTCTGAGCCATTGATACAGAGCCCAAAGTGAGACTTCATCTCACAAACCATGAGATCATGACCTGAGCTGAAGTTGAACACTTAACTGACTGGGTCACCCAGGCGCCCCTGAACATGGATTCTTCTATTGTAACATTAGTTACAGATAGTTTTCATGCTAAGAAGGACTGTGTCACTGCCTTATAATCAGCATGATTTGGGATCATTTTCTTCTTTTTTCCTAAAGCTAGGTTAAAGGATGCATGGGGCATGTTTTCACTTATTACTTCAAAAGATGCTTCTTTTTTTTTTTTTTTCTGTTGCCTTTGAGATTTAATGATTTGCAATCATCATTCAAAACATTCTGTCATTGTCTTGATTTCTACACTACTAATACAAAGTCCTGAGCTCTGACCTTGTCAGACTAAACCCATTCCTCCTGCTTCCCTGCATTAAATGTTTTCATAGAGCCAGAGATGTAACCTGTATTCTCATAATTGGTTCAAGGTTGTTTTGTGAAAGGGGACTAATCTAAAGATCATACATTTTTTAATCATAAGACTATAATGTATAGGCAGTTATATATGAGGCAACAGTTTTATCCAAATCCTTCTCAACATTAGGCTTTTGATAGAATTGCAGGTCCAGGAATTTATAATGGGATTTTTTAAAATATTTTATTTATTTTTGAGAGAGAGATAGAGACAGGATGAGCAGGGGAGGATCAGAGAGAGAGGGAGACACAGAATCTGAAAACAGGCTCCAGGCTCTGAGCTAGCTGTCAGCACAGAGACCAATGCGGGGCTCGAACCCACGAACCGTGAGATCATGACCTGAGCTGAAGTCGGACGCTCAACCGACTGAGCTACCCAGGTGCCCCTATAATAGTATTTTTAATATTGTATCAAGCCTGAAAAGTTTCTACCTGCACAGTAGATGACTTTTCTCAGATAAGGGGTTTTATATGTAGTGCTAAATTTAGACTCTTTCCTATAGGCAATAATCAAAGATTTTATGCAAGGGTAGTGAAATAATCAGACTTGTGTTCTCAACAGATTCATGGTTGTGGGAGTACAAAGGTAAAAGAGAAAGAGAGAAAGAGAGGTGAGAAAACTAATTAAAGGCTATATAGGAGGATAAGGCAAGAGCAGGCTATATATAATGAGAGGCTGTTAAAATAGAGAAGAAAGGATGGCTTAGGATATACAATTCATAGCACTTGAACCACTCAGTTCTGTTCATTTAGTTTGTATAACAGAGGAATAAGAGACAATTTTAATGTTTCTTGCTCAAAAAGTTGGATAGAAAGTGGGATCACCATTCTAAAAAGACTTTTTTAAATGTTTATTTTTGAAAGAGACAGAGAGCACAAGTTGGGGAGGGGCAGAGAGAGAGGGAGGCACAAAATCTGAAGCAGGCTCCAGGCTCTGAGCTCTCAGCACAGAGCCCGATGCAGGGCTTGAACCCATGAACTGTGAGATCATGACCCAAGCCTAAGTCAGACGCTTACCTGACTAAGCCACCTAGATGCCCGTAGGATTACCAGTCTGAAAATAGAGAGTAAAAAGGGAGAAGGAGGAAGATATTCAGAGGAGTAGAGATAATGCTTTGGTTTTGAGATCATTAGAGCTGCAGAGCCTGTTGGACATATTGGAAATTAGTCTCATAAGTGTATAGAAAACTACAGGCCTGAAACTCAGAAGAGAATAGGACTAGAGGTAACTCTTTGTTGTCATCCACATGCAGGTATTAGATGAAACAACTGTTAGCAGATGAAATCATTTAGGGAGAGTGTATGAAACAAGGCTTGAAAATAACCACACCTGGCCATTCACCCCAATGGCTACATTCTCTATCTACAGTGCAATTAAATTTTGAATTAACAATTTAAAGGCAGTCAGATAAACTTTGGTAACTTAAAAAACATACAGAGAAGAAAAAAATCACTGTGGAAATAAAAAATATTTAGAACTGGGTAAGAACCAATCACTGTAAAAACTTGAGTGTTGTACCCAAATTCACATTTCTCTAAAAAGCAAGGAAGGTCAAGAATAAATGCGTTATGCACAGCATAAGTGTAAAGATTTGTTTCAAAAGGAGAAAGACATTGAAAGTTGAAAGAGGTCAAATAGGATAGATTCTGTTTTCTTCACATGTAGGAGACTTAAGAACTAAGAACTAAGAGGACTGGGTGCATGAAGAAAGAGGGCGCTTGAGAAGATTTGTGAAGAGTAAGTGAGGAAGTAACTAGAATTTATAGAATAATTTCTGAGCTGTACTAAGAACTCAGCTGAGATTGAAAAACCATCTTTCCAAAGTATAGCCACAGAGTCCCATATGTTTTATTGGAACTGCATTATAAATTTGAGTCTAAAACTTCCTCCTGGCTAAAATGGTGAAACATGTTCAGTTATGTGAATCTCTTCTTCTTTAGATTAAAAAAAATTAATTGTTCACAAGAAGGGCAACAATTCATGGTATTTTGTGACTTCTGTCTTTCGGTATAGACTGATATCATAAAGCCAAAGTACAATTCATTATAAGTAATTCTGTTAGGGACCAAAATGATGACAGCTAGGTTTATACTTTGTGATAGCTTTTGTTGTTAATCATTGGGTTTAAGTATCTGAAAAGCAGCGTGCTTTTGGAATGAATATCTTCTAAATGAGAATTGGGATTAGCTTGAGTAATTTAGGCAGATTACTTGGAGGTGTTTTTTTAATTTTGAATCTTGGTATATATATCTATATCTATACCGATATAGATATAGATAGATATACTTAATTGTATCTTTTTCTAAGTGGGTTATCAATTGTCCCAGAACCATTTGTTAAGCATTTGATCTTTGCTTTAGTGATTTTAAAATGCTACCTCTATAGAATATGAACTCTTGATAGGAGTTCTCAGAGATGTTCAGTGTATCACCTGAGTTCCATGTGTATTCTTTTTTGCCCTTTTTGTGTATAGCAGTCTTGTCTGTTTGTTTTTCAGAGTCAATTAACCATACCAATATGGTGACTTCTCTTTGTTTGCTCATACCTCATCATAAAATGTCCAAAGTACCCTGTTGGCAGCCATAAGTTTATTTTAGTGGGATATTTGCTGTGTCTCCTGTCAAGAGAGAGCCCCTTTGGGTAACAAGATATCTAACCCTGAAAAGTCCAAGGTTGTGGGAAAGAAATTACAAAATATAGATGTCTCTGGGCATGATGGTAAATAGGATGACATCCACTTCTATTCCTTGGTTTCCAAAGTCACGTATCCTTCCTATTACGGACAGAAGCACCATATACAGGTCTCTGACTTAAAAATACTCTGTATCCCAAAGGGCGGTACTCCTTTTATATTGTTTCCTTTAAGTTGACACTTCAATTATAACTTTAGAAGGCAGTTCCAATGTTTTGTAAGACTGGCTACCTGTAGATGGTGCAGATTATGTGAAGGCCAATGAATCAGTGAAGGCCCACCCTTGTGGCCTTCTTTGATACAGAGA